CGAGGATGATGGGATGCCAATCACTAACATCCATCGACGTCTTGGACGGTGGGCAGAATTTTTCGAAGGGCAGTTCAACTGGCCTGCTGCTCAGGCAACATCAGTCAGACTGTCCTGCCCTCCATGGCCGGTGACGACTGATCCACCAAACGAGGAGGAAGTCCGCAAGGAACTCCAACTCTTGAAGCGTTACAAATCACCTGGCCCAGATGACTTACCTCCGGCTCTTTTTAAAGATGGTGGTGACTTTTTGACTAAGGAATTGACGACGTTGTTCACAAAGGTTTGGGAACTAGAGAGTGTGCCAACGTCATGGAATGAGTCGATAGTTGTCCCTATCTTTAAAAAGGGTTCACGTCGTTCCTGTAACAACTATCGGGGGATAAGTCTACTTCCGATTGCGTCCAAGCTATTGGCTTCCGTCATACTTCGTAAGTTGTTCAAAACCCGAGAACGATTGACTCGCGAGGAGCAGGCTGGTTTTCGTTCTGGTCGAGGATGTATTGATCATATCTTCACCCTCCGCCAAATGTTAGAACACCGCCATACTTTTCAAAGGCCAACAATCGTAGTGTTTCTTGACATCAGGGCTGCCTTCGATTCGTTGGACAGAACTGTTCTCTGGGATTGTCTATTGAAGAAGGGTGTGCCTGAGAAGTTTATTAACATCCTAAAAGCCCTATATAAAAACACCTCAGGCAGAGTGAGGGCATACAACCACCTTTCTCCATTGTTCCATTCGAGTAGTGGGGTTAGGCAGGGTTGCCCAATCTCACCATTCCTCTTCAACTTTGCCATCGATGACATTCTGGAAACAGCTCTGATGAATGTAAGTAATGGTGGTGTGGATCTGTTGCCTGGAGAAAGACTTCTCGACCTTGAGTATGCGGACGATATTGTCTTACTGTGCGATAATGCCCAAGGCATGCAATCCGCACTTAATCAGTTGGCAATCAGTGTCCGTAGGTATGGTATGTGCTTTGCACCTTCGAAGTGCAAAGTACTCCTACAAGACTGGCAGGATTCCAATCCTGTACTTACCCTGGATGGTGAGCGGATAGACGTAGTCGAGAAGTTTGTGTATCTGGGTAGCTGTATAAGTGCTGGTGGGGGTGTGAGTGATGAGATCAATGCACGAATAGTGAAAGCCAGAGCGGCTTATGCCAATCTGGGCCATCTATGGCGCCTTCGTGATGTTAGTCTGGCCGTAAAAGGTCGGATCTACAACGCGTCGGTGAGAGCAGTTTTGCTCTATGCTTGTGAAACCTGGCCTCTCCGAGTTGAGGACGTTAGACGACTCTCTGTGTTCGATCATCGCTGTCTCCGAAGGATTGCTGACATTCAGTGGCAACACCATGTCAGTAATGCAGAGGTTCGGCATCGTGTGTTCGGGCACAGAGATGGTAATTCAATTGGTGTCACCATCTTGAAACACCGACTTCGGTGGCTTGGACATGTTCTCCGAATGTCGTCCCAGAGAATTCCACGTCGTGCATTATTTGCCGACTCTGGGACTGGTTGGAAGAAGCGGAGAGGTGGTCAGTGCATGACATGGTGTCGTGGTATGAAAGAAAGCTGCAAAGGACTGGCGTGTGTTGGTTCTTCACGACTCCCTGGTTGGGGTCTGAGAGATGGTGCTACACAGTGGCTAGAGACGTTATCAGATATGGCTCAGAATAGAAGCCAGTGGCGATCCTGCTGTAACCTTCTTTTACTTTCTTCATAAACAGTGGTTGTGTCTCCCTTACCTGAAAGATTTCTTCCGATTGTACCTTTGCGTTCCCTGATTACTAGCACATTACCTTACACCAATCTCTTCGTTATTGTTCTCTCTTTTTTTTGTTGCGCTCCTTAGCTTTTTTTTTTTTTCTTTGTATTCCTCTCGAATTTTCATTGTTTTGTGTGGCGCATATATATTGGCGCTCCCCTGTACCAATATTCATGTGTCCAAATAAATAATAATAATAAATAAGTAGCAATTTTTATAGGCTTGAATTAACTCTTCCCTCTAGTTTGCCAATACCTCCAAATTCAAAACCAGGCATAAATTTACTTTCATCACTGAGGAGGGATAACACCTTACTTTTATATTCACATTTATTCATATAACTACGCCTGATCCTTTATCAAGTTTCAACAAGACAATATCAGGGGTTGTTCGTAGTTCTTTTAGTGATTTAAAATGCTGAGAAGTTAATATGCTTCTCTGCTTTGGTCCAGCATTAGGAAATTGGTGTGCTATATCCACCAGTTTAGCTTTACACCAGCTTTGATTATTTAAAGACGTAGGGGTTAGAGTACTCAGTTGATCGTATAGATTTTTAAATTGGCCATTTATTTCCAATTCAGACATTTGCGTTATTGGAACCGAGAAATTAAAGCCAAGAGAAAGTTCTTCCTTTTCATTAGCAGATAATATAATGGAAGATAAATTAGTGACATACTTTTCAGGATTTACTGGGAATAAATTAACTTGATTAGTAATAATAGATTTTTCGAGATTTTTACAGATCCTTTCCTTTGTTTTCTAATTGACATTACTGCAAAAGTTGTTGAATTTAATATGGCAGACTATAGATATTTCCTTTAATATAGGCAATGCTTGAGTGTGTAATTCAATTAAATTGATCAGTTTATCTTAGCAATTATCTATATATGATTTCGACAGTCGAATGAGGTTTGAAATATTCGGTTGTAATTTACTTGAACGTTTGTGTGTTCAAAAACAGTTTGTTCTTACCTTAAACCTACCCTGGTAATATTGACTTATTATCCAGAGTGATTAGGTTACGAATTGTGTTCACATTACTATTATTATTACTCTTATCATTATCCTTATCTCCTCTTACCCCGTTTCCTGTCTAGTTGACCTTTTATGTTAAGGCCTATTGCCGCAGAGGCTGCTGCTACACTGGTTGTCTTACCTGCATTTGTTGGTGTTTATGGGATAGAAGAGCTAGGTCATCTGCGAAGTTCAAATCGTCTAGTTGCATACAAGTTGTCCACTGTATTCCGTGCTTCCCTTGAAATGTGTAGGTCTTCATAATCTAGTCGACCACCAGAAGAAAGAGAAAGAGTGAGCAGCCTTGTCTGACACTAAACTTCACTTGGAATACATCTATCAGCTGTCCTTCATGCACTACTTTGCAGCGTAGTCCGTCGTATGAATTCCGTGTGATGTTTTCAGCCTTCTGGGGCACACTATAGTGTCGAAGAAGGTTCCACAAGGTTCTCCTGTCATTGTCCTCAAAGCAGTTTGTTTCGAGTTTATACCGATTGAATTACACTAACAGTAGTCATCCTTAAATAACTACTTAGGTCATTTTTCCTTGAATGAACTTAATATTACCATCTCCCAACTAAGTACTATAATAACTTGCCGATGTTTGTTTTTGCCCCCACTCAGACAGACAAAGATCCTTGTATGATCTAAGTTCAGTCTTCTCCAAGCCCATCAGACCTAGCTACTGAACTACCGATCACTCATAGATTACACTGAACGGCTTCTCCAAATCAACTAATTGTATCTAAGTGGATAACTTCATATACTTCTTTCTAAGATTACACAGTAAAAGCTCTAAAAATTTAATTAGCGGCTCCTTCAGTCAAATTTTATATCGATCGGATATGGAAAGCTTCAATACCCAGTCGGTAGCGTTACTTCAGAAATAATGAATCATACTTCGTGGATGAAGTCATTAGTACAAGTTGAAAACTAAGTTGTACAGACTCAGAATAATAATAACATCATTAACAACAAGAATTAGCGGACTCAGAATTCGAGAATGGTAGATAAAACTATTAGTTGATAAAAGACATTTGTTGTTGCTAAGATCATGTAGGCAATTTACGTTTTCAAACTTCACCGCTGACCTCGACATTCCTAAAATAGATATTGGATTGGTGTTAGACATTCAAGAAGCCAAAGGAACATCTTGAGCTCCTTCATGCGTGGTTATTTTGTAGGTGGTAGTTGAGTCATTTCTCCTGTTTATGGGAGGATGTTGGTACTAGCGACGAACAGTGATAGGTCAGGGCAACTTATATAGTCTTTAAAACTGGTTTTTCTACCACTCATTTCTCTGAATAGGAATTCGGGGACTCTATTATCCTCACATTTCTTCTCAACTATCTGTACAATTTAAACCCCAAATCGCTCCAAGCTATATCAAAAGTCAACTGTTGATGAGGTCAGTATTGGTTACTTGGAAGGAGTTGGCAAAAGATTAATCACCCGACATCGTTAAGTCACGTAGCTAAGCTGTTAAACCAAAAAATCAACTGACTTAATCTACGAGTTTTAAGAAACATGCTTCATATTGGATGTTATCTACCGAACTCTTGACATACGTTTATTTATAAATTTGACAAAGTACGTATACCCATTTATTAACATTCGGGAACTATTTCAGACCTTCCACTAGTGTAATGTTTGAATCACCTAGGAAATTTCAAAGACTTTTCTTCAGATTACTGAACTAGCTTTTGATGCTATTTAACGTACATATACTTGGGGTCAGTTGACCAACCAATAGGAGTTTATCAGTATGGGGTTGTGGAGATTAAGTTTTTGATTGAGATCACTAATCGATTGATGTCGGACCACCATTAAAAACCTGGAAGCACTAGACGACCATTTCGTCCTAGTATGGGACCGTTCAGGTCTGACATCGATTGACTCATGATCTCAGTCAATAGGATTTATTATTCTTAAGCTATCATAAGAATAAACCAAGGAATATCTAAATGATTCCATCGCATCACAGCAAATCACTTATGTCCTCGGTATTAATCTTATGAACTTGAAATCCTTGTTGGTATCAGTAATGTTGTTAACGAGATCGGTCGATCTGTGCACAGTATCCAGCTATTGGTTTCGTTTATTAGTTCATGGCACCACACTCAAGTGGTTAGAATGCCGCTAAGTTTTGAGAAATTGTTACACATGCTGTCTGTAAGCCTTTTAACCGAATTAAGCTAACTATTTTCCCACTCTTTAGTTTTTCAGCTTCACAAAAAGCAATAATTATGATGGCGATGGATCCGAATTGTGAAATGTTAGTGGTAGGTGCGCGCTTTGGGCTAATTGAAATACTAAGACCTGACTCGTTACTCACTTGCGTACAGCGGTTCTCAGTGTTCAATCCGTCCATAACCAACGATTCAATAAATACTTGTTTAACAGGTTTATGTTTAATACCTCGCCCTGATTGGTTATCTAATACCGTTGGAATAGAATCAGTTGATACTAAAACTTCATCCAATTCCGATCATTATACAGATCAAAATGGAGGTTTGAACTCTTCTAATCCTCGAACATGTTTTATTGAACCATTCAAATCCCACTTTGGTTGGAGGCTTGATGATACAGTGTGTGTCCGCATACCTGAATTAGCAGAGGTAAGTTTAAATTACTGTATTTCCTCTCAAAAACACAATTCCGTGGGCAACAAGCTATCTAGTAGTAGAATAGCAATATAATTCTACCTTTCCGTTTTAACGTTAGGACTAGCCAATAAAATAATCAAATAAACGGTGATTCAACGATATAGCCGAACAGACAGGTATTAGACTCGTAACCTATTTCAAAATTTCTGCCAAAATAAGTTTCAGCGGACAGAATGTCTGCCGCATTAACTACGAATGTAGAGCAGGTATGTGGGACTGTTACGATACCCAGAAATACAAATTAATTATTAACCAAATAATTCATATAATAAAGTATCAAAATGGTTATAAAGCAAACAACGAGTCTACATCTCTAATCACTATATTACTTTCGAACTATTACATCTAATGATAGTGGTTGTAAAGTACAATATTTCATACTTTTCACCATAGTTTGTCTTTAATTTGATAAATCGTCAAACGGGAGTCACGTAAAGTTGAAGTCTCGTTTTTCTAGTATTTATTTTATTGGACTATAGTCTGTGAAACAATATCATTCTTGTGTTCAACTGACAAAGGACTGATTACTAATCTTCATGTGCTAAAGCTGTGGCAAAACCCATAGCCTAAAAATTAAAGATTTATGACATGTTTTTACTTGCTCATCTAAGTGGTTCGGTCATTTTTTTCATTCACATACATATTATGTCAATAAATTTGTGGATTTTCAGATAGTACGTACTACTAAACAGTTCTTTGAAATGTGTTGTTCAGCCGTCTCCTTATTTATTCACTGGTTGGCGAAAAAGGACGTTTCGTCTTCACATTCACCTTGTAAAAATATATAATCTTTATCAGTCACTCAGCTACAACATAAGACCAGGCACATATATGCATCAGTCCGAGTTGCCTCACCTCATTAGTCTTTTTTTTTATAACCACATGTGTAATAGTAATAGTGGTAATAAGAATAATTGTCCCATTTCTATGTAAGATATGTGAAGTAATCATCTATACACTATGATAACTCTTCATATTGTATTATGTAGTTTAGAAAACTTCATTTTTAAATATATACATTTGTGGAAAACATGCATCACTTTTTTTCATTCTATATTGTTTTCTTTTACAGAAGTCGAATTTTTCATCAGAAGAAGCAAGCATCTTTATGGATGATTTTTACCCTGTTTCAGGTATGAGCCAAATAAAACTTGACAGTTTGGGAAGTGAAGAGCATAAAGTTTTAAGACAAGAAATTGATCGCGTTACTGCATCCAATCGCGAGCTACTTCGAAGACTTGTCAATTTTGAATTGAGATCGTCAGTGTGATTTTTTGTGAAATGTACAAAATACACTTTTCCATGAAAGAAGCGTAGCCCTTAGTTGCGATATTTTCATTCTTGTTTCTTGTCGTCACTACTTGACTTAGTGCACATGCTTGGTATCTTCAGTATCAATGATTTGTTTGGATCTAGATGTATGCTACGATAAATAGATTGCGTTAAAACATAGTCTAGGTTTTAACTATGTACTTTACGAACCATCAGAGATCAATGACAGGCATAAAAAGTGGGAAAATCACTTCTTTAACTTCAAATAGTCTATTTTATTTCGAATTGATTCTGTCCATCGGATCTTTATACTGTAACACCGGTTTAAACTTGCTCCATAAATTTTATTATAGCAATTTCCATTATCAAGCATTATCTTTTTACTGTACTGTTGCTTTATTACGACTAGTTCGAATACTGGTGATCATGTGTTCCGAAGAGGCGGCAATGCCTCCGGATTTATTCCGTTTTGCTTCTTCCCCCATAATCAGTCACATTCACTATCGTCAATGTGTGAACTCTTTAAACAACTACAAATGAGTTAAACCCATTTCCAGCTTATGTATCTGTAAAAACTTGGCTTCGATAACCACTTGTCTACTATCCCAGTAGGATCATTAAATAGGCTCACCTAATATAAACATATCCTCAGCTTTAGGTAACTTCAGGCATTTTTAGTGTAAATATGATATATTCTTTTATATAAATTGGCATAAAAATAACTTAAATGTAGGTTATCGAAATGTCTACACAAAGATTGTTAATAATGGTAATACGCAACAACAAAGAAAAATTAAAAAAAAGTCTCTATGCTAGCCTTCACGTAATAGGTGTTTAGGTTGATCAAAGAAACAGTTACTATAAAGCCAGGTGTGAGTATGACTGCCTCGAAAAGGGCGGGAATTTGGCTAATCACCCCAGGTGTCTGAAGAGATGAGATTATAGCAGCTCATGCGCAACTGAGTCGGTTCACATTTAATTCGGTTAAGTCATTTTGTTAACTTATTAACGAACTGAGTCATCGGTACAGCATCAACTTATCTATATCATTGTATCTTTAATATTGTTGCGAATGTATGAACATGTATGCTTGAGCATTGCTTAATGCCTACGCATTTATTCACGCTGCTAGCCATACTACCAACCGCTTAATTGATTCGATGATTCATTCATTTCACTATGTATATATATGTCCATGTTATTCATGTTCATTGCTCTCGCTCGCTCGCTCAAGTATACTTGCTTATTCGTACTCATATTCGCTGACTCACTCGCTTGCCTTTCGGCACAACTCTTTCATGCTTGTTTAACGCACCTGTAATTTTGGATATTTGTGTGTGGTCCCATATTAAACATAACACTTCGTATTCGCCCTCTGATCAATATACCGTTGGGGTGTTATCTAGTGACGGTTATCAAGACTAACTGTATACGAAGTTTAATGATTATATTGAATACCGACCACCACAAGATATTAACCTACCTAATTTTTCAAATAGACTCTATGGTCTATTTGTCCCTGTTTGACTGTGCTTGTTCGTGCACTGATATGTAAACCTGTCTTTTTGAATTTGTGCATTTATCTCACAAATTAGAATTGCATTGAAATAATTTCAATCGGATTCGCGATTTCCATGTATGAAGTTTACTTTAAAACATGGTATTCACATGATCCGCCTGGAGCCCCTCTGGGGCTACTCTCGGTCCCAAGCCCGGATAAAGGAGAACGGTTGGAAATGGGGTTAGCGACCCCATCCCATAGAAAACTAACTCGATAAAACAACGCTAACCAGAAAAAAATTATTCAAGCCTTTTAAACTCTGCCCTGGAAATCAGAAGGTCTTTATTTAGAAGAACTATGACGCCTAATGATGAAAGCCGAATTCCTTCGGAAGTCACGAGGCCGATACCCATTCTGACAACCAGAGCAACCATTTATTTAGGTACATGGAATGTTCGTACAATGTGGGACACCGGGAGAGCCTTCCAAATCGCTGCAGAAATGAGGAGATACAACCTAGAGGTGCTCGGGATCAGTGAAACACATTGGACGCAAGTTGGACAACAACGACTAACTTCAGGAGAGCTCCTGTCATACTGCGGCCATGAAGAAGAAAATGCCCCACATACACAAGGAGTTGCATTGATGCTGTCCAAACGAGCACAAAATGCACTTATAGGATGGGAATCTCATGGACTGAGGATCATCAAAGCCTTCTTCAAAACAAAGAAAGATGGCAGTTCAACAAACATCATCCAATGCTATGCGCCTACCAACGACTACAATGAAGACGCTAAAGATCAATTCTACAATAGGCTGCAGTCAATCGTCGAGAAGTGCCCAACAAAGGACCTGACCATTCTGACGGGAGATTTTAATGCCAAGGTTGGAATGGACAACACTGGATATGAAGACATCATGAGACGACACGGACTGTGAGAAAGGAACGGAAATGGTGAGAGATTTGCGAACCTATGTGCCTTGAATAAACTGGTCATAGGCGGCACTATATTCCCACATAAACGCATTCACAAAGCCACATGGACTTCACCGGATCACACTACACAGAACCAAATCGACCATATTTGCATCAACAAAACGTTCAGGAGGACTATAGAGGACGTGAGAACCAAGAGAGGAGCTGATATAGCCTCAGTTTATCACTTGCTGGTCTCCAAGATGAAACTGAAACTCAAGAAGAACTGAGGAACGGGGCACACAACATCACAAAAGTTCAATACACCCATTCTTCGGGATACTGACAAACTCAACGAATTCAAGATAGCCCTTAGCAATAGGTCCCAGGCCTTTCACGATCTTCTCAGTGGAGAGGGAACTACCATGGAGAACAACTGTGAGGGGATCAAGGATGCAATCACTTCAACATGTCATGAGGTTCTGGGCCACAAGAAGCACCGCCACAAGGAATGAATCACTGTTGATACACTGGATAAGATTCAAGAAAGGAGTAACAAGAAGGCAGCAATCAATACCAGACGAACAAAAGCAGAGAAAGCCAAGGCACAAGCTGAATACACAGAATTAAACAAACAAGTGAAGAGGAGCATCAGAACCGACAAACGTAAATATGTGGAAGATTTAGCAATGACGGCGGAAAAGGCTGCAAGAGAATGAAACATGAGATGACTGCATGACAGAACAAAGAAACTCTCTGAAAATCGCCGCAAACCAGAACGACCAGTGAAAAGCAAGGAAGGCAAGGTAATCACCAACACTGAAGAGCAACAAAACAGGTGGGTAGAACACTTCAAAGAACTCTTGAATCGACCAGCTCCACTGAACCCACCCAACATCGGAACAGCTCCACGGACCTCCCAATCAATGTTGGCCCACCAACGATTGAAGAGATCAGCATGGCCATCAGAAAAATCAAGAGTGGCAAAGCAGCAGGACCGGACAACATTCCAGCAGAGGCACTGAAAGCAGACGTAGCGGCAACTGCAAAGATAGTCCACATTCTCTTCAGCAAGATTTGGGATGAGGAACAAGTACCAACAGACTGGAAAGAAGGACTTCTGATCAAAATACCGAAGAAAGGCGATCTCATCAACTGTGATAACTACAGGGACATCACTCTTCTCTCAATACCGGGAAAAGACTTCAACAGGGTATTGTTAAACAGGATCAAGGACTCCGTAGATGCCCAACTTCGTGACCAACAGGCAGGATTCCGTAAGGATAGATCGTGTACAGACCAAATCGCAACTCTACGGATCATTGTGGAAAAAACAATTGAATGGAATTCATCACTACATCAACTTCATTGACTACGAAAAGGCATTTGATAGCGTGGACAGAACAACACTATGGAAGCTTCTTCGATACTACGGCATGCCTCAGAAGATAGTCAACATCATACAGAATTCCTATGATGGATTAAACTGCAAAATCGTGCGTGGAGGACAATTGACAAAGTCGTTCGAAGTGAAGACCGGTGTCGGGCACGGTTTCTTACTCTCACCCTTCCTCTTGGTGATCGACTGGATCATGAAGACGTCAACATCTGAGAGGAAGCACTGGATAGAGTGGACAGCTAGGATGCAGCTGGACGACCTAGACTTTGCAGATGATGTGGCTCTCCTATCGCACACGCAACAACAAATGCAGGAGAAGACGATCAGTGTAGCAGCAGCCTCAGCAACAGTTGGTCTCAACATGCACAAAGCGAAAAGCAAGATTCTTCGATACAACAAAGCATGCAACAATCGAATCACACCTGACGGAGAAGATTTAGAAGTTGTAAGAACCTTTACATATTTGTGAAGCATCATTGATGAACACGGTGGATCTGATGCAGATGTGAAGGCGCGGATCGACAAAGCAGGAGCAGCATATTTACAACTGAGGAACATCTGGAACTCAAAGCAACTGTCAACCAACACCAAGGTCAGAATTTTCAATACAAATGTCAAGACAATTCTACTGTATGGGGCGGAAACCTGGAGAACAACGAGAATCATCATCCAGAAAATACAAGCGTTTATTAACAGTTGTCTACACAAAGTACTTCGGATCCGTTGGCCAGACACTATCAGCAACAACCTATTATAGGACAGAACAAACCACATCCCAGCGGAGGAAGAAGCGCTGGAAGTGGATAGGACACACATTGAGAAAAGCACCCAACTGCGTCACAAGATAAGCTCTCACATGGAATCCTGAAGGCCAAAGGAAAAGAGGAAGACCAAAGAACACATTACGGTGAGAAATGGAGACAGACATGAGAAAAATGAACAAAAATTGGATAGAACTAGAAAGGAAGGCCCAGGACAGAGTGGGTTGGAGAATGCTGGTCGTTGTCCTATGCTCCATTGGGAGTAACAGGCGTAAGTAAGTAAGTATTCACATGTTCATCTTTTGGAGATAACTATCAGTCAGATCACAAATATAATATTTGGATTAGAAGACAAACGTACAGTTTCAAGTGTATATTTTGTGTTGAATCCTTAACATACTGTTCACAAAATCGTTTCTTATGTCTATGATCTTAAGCTTAACTGGCTGTGGCAGCTTGAAAATTAGCGTATTTATCCGACTTTCCAATAAGCATTCACGTCATTGATTTTCAACCTTTTGTTTCGGAAAGTAGGGAATTTTCCGTCAAAAATTAAGAAATTAATATTGACCTCCAAAAAACAAATATCTTTTGTCTCACAAAAGAATACGTCATAAAATTAAATTCATTAGACTCATATGATGCAATGACGAATACAAAGTTTATCAGAGCTATGTAATCTATTAGCGTAATATATTTCGAATAATCTGGCCACGAACTTATTTACCAAGGCATTTGTAACTAAAAAACAAAGTTCAAACTGGTGGATCATAGAAAACAAAGCTAATAAGG